AAACGTAGAGTTACCATATAACTCAGGTTCCACTTTTGGCTATATATCCAACAAAAATGAAAACATAAGTTCACATAAAAATTAACAAACAAATGCTCATAGCAGCATCATTCACAATGGCCAAAAATGGAAACAAACCTAACACTTATCAACTGCTAATAAATAAACATAATGTGGTATATCCAAAAAATACACTATTACTCCATCATAAAAGGACCGAAGGATTCACACTACAATATGAACGGACCTTGAAAACATAAGGCTAAATTAAAGAAGCCAGTCACAAAAGGCCACACACTGTATGATTCCATTTCTATGAAATGTCCAGAAGAGGCAAATCCATAAGGACAAAAAGTAGATTAGTGACTGCCAGGGGCTGGGGCACAGAGGGATGGGAAGCTTCTGCTAACAGCTACAGGTTCCTTTTTGGGCTGATGAAATGTTCTGGAATTAGATCGTGGCGATGGTCACTCAAAGTTGTGAATATACTAAAAACTACTAAATTGTACACACTGGGTGCAGCAAACCACCGTGGCACATGTATACCTATGTAACAAACCTGCACATATGGCACATGTACCCCAGAACTTAAAGTTTAATAATAATAATAAATAAATAAATAAATAAATAAATTGTACACATTAAAAAGAGTTAATTTTATGGTATGTGAATTATACCTCAATTTTTAAAAATCCACACCATGGCCAGGCGTGGTGGCTCACGTCTGTAATTTCAGCACTTTGGGAGGCTGAGGCAGGTGGATCACGAGGTCAGACGTTCGAGACCAGCCTCGCCAACATAGTGAAACCCCACCTCTACTAAAAATACAAAAAATTAGCCAGGTGTGGTGGCAGGCCATCTGTAAACCCAGCTACTCAAGAGGCTAAAGCAGGAGAATCACTTGAACCTGGGAGGCGGAGGTTGCAGTGAGCCGAGATCGCACCGCTGCACTCCAGCCTGGGCAATAAGAACGAAACTCTGTCTCAAAAAATCAAAATAAAAAAATTCACACCATGGCCAAATAGGGTTCCCTGGGTCCACCCTATCCAATGTCAGCAACACAAGAGGCAGAACACGTGTGGAACAATTTCCAAGAGGACACAGATGGTATAAAAGTTAAGAGAAACATTCCTTAGAGAGCTCCCAGCCTGGAGAAAAGGCTGACAAATCTTTAGGCCCCAAATGAAGATCTAATCCAGTGGTTTTCAAGTGGGACATGTGGCAATGTCTGGAGACATCTTTAATTGCCACAGCTGGGTGGTGAAGTGCTACTCGCATCCAGTGGGTAGAAGCCAGGGTGCTGCTAAACAACGCATGGGATAGCTCCTTACAGAAACACATTATCCAGTCCAAAATGTCAGCAGTGCCATGGCTGATCAACTGTGGGTTTAATCCAAAGATGGGTTCAATTGCTTTTTTAAATCCTAGGATTTATATAACTTAGGGACCTGTTTGATAACACTAATTCCAAATACATCAAAACTTCTACAAGTAGTGGAGCCTGCCTCAAACCAGAACCAGATGTAGCCAGCCCAGGCCCATCTCAGGCAAACCAGTTTCAAAAGCGCAGTCCAGGCCTTTCTACCCTCAGAGCCAGGCACATGTGAGGCAGCCAGCGAGATCTCTCCTCAAAGGCACAGGTATCAAGTAAGGAATAAATACCGTCAAAGGGCTGCATGTCAAGTTTCATCCCTAAATGGCTAACCAAAGCTTCCTTAAAGCACAATCTTTTTTTTGAGACGGAATCTTGCTCCGTCGCCCAGGCTGGAGTGTAGTGACACGGTCTCTCAGCTCACTGCAAGCTCCACCTCCCAGGTTCACGCCATTCTCCTGCCTCAGTCTCCCGAGTAGCTGGGACTACAGGCGCCCACCACCACGCCCGGCTAATTTTTTGTATTTTTAGTAGAGATGGGATTTCACCATGTTAGCCAGGATGGTCTCGATCTCCTGACCTCGTGATCCGCCTGCCTTGGCCTCCCAAAGTACTGGGATTACAGGTGTGAGCCACTGTGCGTGACCTTTAAAGTACATTATTTCTTAAAATACTAACCAGTAAAGTTTATCTGAAAGACTTGCATAAGGAACGCAAATTTTTTCTCACATAAGAAAGGGTAAAAATATGTTTACAAAAGGGTATGTTGCTAACCCTATACTTGCTGGTATATGCTAAATAAAATCCAAAGCACATACACAGTTCCCATCTGTGAATGCTATCTACTTTTTCACCTATCCCTGCCAAGCTCAGTGGCCCAAGGTTAGCACTGCCACCAAATTTCTAGGCTCTTCAGTGATGCAAGAAAAGTTCAACTGTCTTACTCTGAAAAGACTTTAAGGAAGTTGTTGTTGTTGTTGTTGTTGTTGAGACGGAGTCTCACTCTGTGGCCCAGGCTGAAGTGCAGTGGCATGACCTCGGCTCACTGCAACCTCCCCTTTCCAGGTTCAAGTGACTCTCATGCCTCTCTCCTCGGTAGCTGGGACTACAGGCATACGCTACCACGTGCAGCTAATTTTTATATTTTTAGTAGTGAAGGGGTTTCGCTATGTTGGCCAGGCTGGTCTAGAACTCCTGGCCTCAAGTGATCTGCCTATCTGGGCCTTCCCAAAGTGCTGGGATTACAGGCGTGAGCCACTGCACCTGGCCAAGAAAGTTGTATTTTAAATACAGCTGGGCTTTTAGGACCATAACTTACAGGTTACTTCAGGGTGAGCCTGAATAAGGGAGTGGATTCTTCCCCGTCTTCATCATATAAAGGGAAAACGAGTAAACATAAATTATCTGAAAATCTATCACTCAGAGAAAACTAGTCTTAGCATTTTGGTGTACGTAAACCTCCTAGAGTTTTCCTAGACAAATATGTCCATATCAACTTTTTATAAAAATGAGACCACAGTCAGCCAGGTACGTGGCTCATGCCTACAGTCCAAGCACTTTGAGAAGCAGAGGTGGGAGGACTGCTTGAGCTCGAGTTTGAGGCCAACCTGAGCAATATTGCAAGACCCCATCTCTACAAAAAAATTTTAAAAATTAGCGGGGTGTGGTGGCATGCACCTATAGTTCCAGCTATTTGGGAAGTTGAGGCAAGAAGATCGCTTGAGCCCACGAGTTTGAGGTTGCAGTGACCCATGATCAGGCCACTGCACTCCAGCCTGAGCAAGGGAGTGAGACCCTGTCTCAAAAAAAAAAAAAAAAAAAAAAAAACTACAGCCATACGATTGGATACTGCTTAAGAAAGCTGCATTTTTTTGAGACAGAGTCTGCTGGGAAGACTGGTGTGCTGCTGGGAAAATGATGGGGGAGCTGCAGACTTGTTTTTTGTTTGTTTTTTCCCAAAGAGCTAGGATCACAGGCATGAGCCACTGTGCTCAGCCTCGCTGTACCCTTTGATTTTTCTTTTTTTTTTTTTTTTCTGAGATGAAGTCTCACTCTCTGTTGCCCAGACTGGAGTGCAGTGGCATGATCTCGACTCACTGCAACCTCTGCCTCTTGGGTTCAAGCGATTCTCCTGCCTCAGCCTCCCAAGTAGCTGGCATTACAGGTGCCTGCCACCACACCCAGCTAATTTTTGTATTTTTAGTAAAGATGGGGTTTCACCATGTTGGCCAGGCTGGTCTCGAACTCCTGACCTCAAGTGATCTGCCCACCTCAGCCTCTCAAAATGATGGGATTACAGGCATGAGCCACTGCGCCCCGCCTGTTTTCTTTTTTTTCTTTTTTTGTAATCTCTTCTACTAGACTTTAGGGTTGTCCTTACTATCTTGTTACAACCCTGGAATGACTACCTTTGTTCATATATCCTTTTTGCAGTTGCCTGATTTTTCCTTAGAAAAAAATTCTCATAAATAGAACTGCTATTTAATATTGTGGTTTCGGCCAGGTGCAGTGGCACATGCCAGTAATCTCAGCACTTTGGGAGGCTCAGGCAGGCAGATCACTTGAGGTCAGGAGTTCCAGACCAGTCTGGCCAACATGGTGAAACCCCATCTCTACTAAAAACACAAAAATTAGCTGGGTGTGGTGGCACAAGTCTGTAGTCCCAGCTACTCGAGAGGCTGAGGCAGGAGAACTGCTTGAACCCAAGAGGCGCAGGTTGCAGTGAGCCGAGATCGCGCCACTGCACTCCAGCCTTGGTGACAGAGCAAGACTCCGTCTCAAAAAAACAAATATTGGCCAGGTGCGGTGGCTCAAGCCTGTAATCCCAGTACTTTGGGAGGCCGAGATGGGTGGATCACGAGGTCAGGAGATCGAGACCATCCTGGCTAACACGGTGAAACCCCGTCTCTACTAAAAAAATAAAAAAATAAAAAAAAACTAGCCGGGCGAGGTGGCAGGCGCCTGTAGTCCCAGCTAATTGGGAGGCTGAGGCAGGAGAATGGTGTAAATCCGGGAGGTGGAGCTTGCAGTGAGCCGAGATCTGGCCACTGCACTCCAGCCTGGGCGACAGAGCGAGACGAGACTCCGTCTCAAAACAACAACAACAACAAAAAAAAACAAAACAAAAAAACCCCAAATATTGTGGTTTCACACTGCCTAAGTGCTGTTCTTAAAGTCTGACAACGCATTCTGTCCCCAGCAACTTACGAAAGTTGTTCTTCTGTCCAGGACGGAGTACAGAGCTGTTCTACGACACACTCTCCCATCAGAGGAAATTATCTACCCTCAACCTTAGCACCCTGGCAGCGTGGACCCCGATTACACGTCCCAAGATGGTGATATTCCACCATCACAGACTAATCCCTTAATTAGTTTTGAGCTGTGAACCAACAACTCAACAATAGTCTATCCCAGGTGTCAGCTGTTTCTAATCCAGCCTCATCCATCTGGATGGAAACCTAGCTTAAACACCCACAGGCCATTTTTGCTAAACAAAATGCCTTGTGGTAGAGGAAAGCATCTCTGTGGCCACACTCAGTCTAATTTAAGGCAAATCTGTCAACTAACATGCTTCTGCCCACAACACATCCCTAACCAGGGTGACGTTCCTCCATCTTCTAACCTAGGGTCAAACCCCGGCCCACCTCAAAGCTGAGGTCCCCCCTGGTTTGCTGCCTCAAGCTTGGCAGTTGTGGGTTTGCAGGCACAGGTGAAAACCCGATGAGGAACTTACATAGAAGTGAAAATGCAAGAAGTGGGCCAGCACTCTGGGGGTCACGCCAGGGAAGGCAGCCAGGAGTTTCTGGAGGTAGACCTCCAGATCCTTCTCCCTCTTCTCCACCAAGCTTCTTGAGTTTTTCCCAATTATCTTTTTGGGCGGAAGCAGATTTTTATCAATCTTTCTCTCTGCAACGAGCTGTAAAAAAACATAAGCACATCAACCACAGACTAAGAGGCTCTGTGCCTATGTAAGGCCGAGGCAAGAAGCCTGAGGACAGGCGCTTGTTAGCACTTGCACAGCCCCTCCCTGCAGTACCAAGATCAGTGACCAACCGAGGGCACCTGGGATTCGCCTCTTTCAATCCAAATTAGCATTAGAAATACCAATACAATTCCAGACAAGGATTCTATCTGGAGACTTTGGAGACATTCAGAAAAGTAACACCATTTGCCCCTAAAATTGCCATCTTTTCCAAGCCAGAGTAAAAACCAATTAGGGCAGTGGTGTGTCTTTAAAACATGCTGTAAATGACCCAGAGAAAGACAGCATCTCCAAAAGCAAAGAAAAGATGGAATCACAGCCAGATATTACAGCACAGGCTTTGGAATAGCCATAGCTAGGTCGAACAAGTTCAAACCTGTCCCCTTCCCAGGAAACTGTCTCAGCATCTCGTATCCAAGCTAGGACTGGAAATATTAAAACTGAAATTCAAATATGCTCCTTGCAGACTGGCTCATGCTAGAGCTGAAGGCTAGCATTTACGTGCTATATTAATGAACGCAGTTATATTAACAAAGTGATTTATTAAGAACTATGGACATGGAGCCTCTTTTGCCCTAAAACTAATGTGTGGCACAATGGAAACTTGGCCTACAGGACCCTCCAGCCCTGAAATATGTGCTCCCAGCTCTTAACAGTTACCTTTTCATGCAGGTCATGGAAGTCGCTGTAGCGGTGCTTTACCGTCCACTCATGGTTGCCATCAGTGACCTGTATGATGTAAACCTAAAAGGGGAAACCAAAAGCCCTTGTAGCAAGGGAGCCCCAACAAGGAGTCTCCTCCCCCTATAGCAAAAGCTGCAATTACCTTTCCCAATTATCTTTTATCAGTCTTTCTCTCTGCAACTCAGACCCACCCCAAGGCCAAAGTCAGGCTGCCCCTGCCCACTAGCCTCTGCACCTGACCCTTGCTGACCAGCAGGGCCCCTCTCAGCCTCCTCCATGGCCCAAGCAGTAGGGCTGGGAGGCACATGGGACAAGCCTGTGGCTCCATCCATCAGTAAGGAATGAAAAAAGTGATTACCACAACAAGTCACCTCTTTAGTTTTTTACCTCCTGCCTCTAGGTAACTCAAAACCCAACCCGAGCTGCAGGCAAGGCCATTTCTTCCAAGGGAGGGAGGAGGGCCAGTTGTAGCCTGAGTATCTTCTCTGTTGTACTTCTTTCCAGGTGCCCTACCCTCCTGGAAGCAAGTCCTTTTCCAACCCTTTCAACTGGTTCATGGCTGTGATTTCTGCTACTGAGCCAGGAATCAAGGTACAAGCAGCTGATGTGGGGAGGCAGTGGTAGCAACTAAGCTCTATCAGGAGGCAATATGGCCTAGAGGTTAAGGAAGGCCTGGGTTAAAAACCTGGTTCTGTCATTTCCTGGCTGCAGCTTATGTGTCACTTATATAATTAACTTGGAGCCTAAGTTTTCTCTGAGCCTCAGTTCCTCCATCTTAGAATCAAGGACCAAGTAAGGCAATGCATGTAAAATGCTTTGTCCATGGGCCTGACCCATGGTAAGTGTTCAAAGGGTAGGTGTGTTCATAATATCCAACTCGGCACACCCGGAGACAGAGGATGGTAGGGTCCAATCTAGATCACCACCTCCCCCGACACACATGCAGAGGAGGGGTGCAGTCCAGAATAGGGAGAGCTTTTTGAAGATGGCCCTCTTGCTGAAGGTGCCCCTAGCTGATGGCCAGCCAGCCATCAGCTCAGAGACCTCACCCGCCTCCTGCACCTAGTTTCCCTCTCCTCTCTGCAGCATGGAGCTGAAGCCTTCTCCAGCCCTGAGGAGCAGCCATTTCTCCAGGCTGGCCTGTTGCTCCAGGATCCACCCCTCTCCTCTTCCCATCCTGCCTGATTCCTTCCCTTTGCCCTCAGGAAAGGAGAAAAGAGCCCGATGAATGGCCCTCAGAGGGGGAGGTTAGGATGAGGGCCAGGGAGGGGGGTGCAGGCAGGGCCAAGGCCCCCACCCACTCCCTACCCTGCGGGAACAAAGGGGATGAAGCAGGGAGGTGCTCAATGCCTAGTTTTTGCCAGGCAGCCCACCAGGCTCACAGGCCTGGCATCCAGCCCCATCAGAGTCGGAAACTACCCCCATTTGTCCTCTGTCTCCCCCATGGCTTAGAAGTGTGTGTGCGCAGCTTGTTGCCCCATCTCGCTCCCACAGCCCAAAGTCACGAAGATTCCTAAGGTTTATAGGGTCTGCGCTTCAGCACTGAGACCACCCCTATTTCTCCACAGCTGGACTCCACCCGTCCTCCGTTCTTGTCTCCGCCCGACCCCCAAGGCGTCTGCCCCCCAGGTCTATCCTTCACTTCTCAGAGAAAATCTCAACCACCACCGCAGGCTTCCCAGATCAGGGTGCTGGCGCCTTCTCTTTCTTCAAGGCCTGCGGAGCCTGACCCTTTTCCCTGATTCCATCCATCAGAGACCCTCTCCCCATCGCCTTTCTCCTGAACCCCAGTAACGGTCTCTCAGGCCGGGGCTCCTCCAGTCCTAGAAGATCTAGAGGGGTTTAGCCTCATCTAGACACCCCCCTCCCCAGGCCCCCTTTATCCCCAGATGCCGCTCCCAACCCGAGCCTCCCTTTCTGATCGCGTACCCTTTTCCAAACCGCCTCCCCAGGCCCCGAGCAACCCTTCACCCGAACCTGCGAGGCCCAGATCCCTTTCCTTAGATCCCCCGTCCCAGCCCCCTCGCAATCGCAGACCCTTCTACCCGCTCCTCAGGGTTGCAGATCCCGAACCCCTCCCCAAGCCCCCAAGTCGGACTCCCGGTCCCAGCCACCACCCCCGCTTCAGGTGCCCGCGCCCCCAACAAACCGTATAAGTGTCCACGAGCTCCGAGCCCAAGACGCGAGCTTCCTTGGCCGGCTCGGCTTCCCGCTCGGGCCCGAAGGTGCGCGGCGTCGCC